CCTTGGAGATTAAATTGAACTAATAGCCTAGGTCTTGTTCATTCGGGCACTAATGTAATTCGATCATACTCTGCACATTACTAATTACTAAGATTCGTGTGAAGACAGTGCCTTCACGCATGAAAAAAATTCATTAAAAAAATCTGGCTGTCTCTGAAAAATTCAATTGGATTCATTAAAATTATCTTCAGACAATTCTGTACCTTTCCTGATTGATTGCTCATTAATTATATAATTCAAAGATATTCGAAAAGAAAACAGTTAATAAATTATTATTTTTCTATAGAAATTCTTGGACATCAATTTTCCTATTTTTTTCGTTCTTATTTGTTCTTAATTTGTTTCTGATAAAAAAAAATGCCAACAGAATAAAATGCGGAAACAATAAACAAATTTTTGATTGAATAAAAATTTAACAGAATTTTTTCGAGAAAGCGCAAGTATTTTTTATTAAATTTTTTCATACGTGCCACTGCATTATCCAATAATCATCGGTAATCTGCAAATCAGAGACGGAATTCGATCTTTGAATCAGTGGAATTCCGTGATTGTTGACATCTTCGCGAGTTCCCATCGAGATCCATCGAGATCCGTCGAAGGAAGAGCACTAATTGTAATAATCAAAGCAGCCCAGAGGTCATGTAAATAAATTGATTGATTGAATGAGCCGATAAATTAACATTTGTAATTACTGCACGCAAGAAAAAATTTGATACCTAAAGCTTTCGGCAAGAATTTTCATTGATTTACCAAAATTTAAACTATATATAATTATTTAATATAATATACACGATTAATTAGTTATAATTATTTAATATAATTATATATATGATTATGTAGTGAATATCATTTAAATTTAGTGGATTTGTTTTTTAAGGAAGCATTTATGTATTAAATATTTTCGTACGTGGCGAATCGTTTGATTTTCGACGTTGGAGAGAAGAACCCGACGATTTAATTGCTGAGTACTGATAATTTTCACTAAGAATCGAGTGGAAAATGTAGGGAAGAGTAGTTTAATCTCAACAGTAGTGGTATTGATTGTAAAAAAATGATGCAGACGTTTGTCCCCAGCTGCGTTATCCTCGGAACAAACCCCAAGCTAATAATTATAGGAGACGATGATTTTTCAAAGAAAAAAGTCATCACGATGACAACAAAAAAAAAAACGTTCTGAAATCAATCTCCAAACAACTCAATGAAGAACTATTCCGATGCACGAAAATCTTCTTCTCGGTATTCACTATCTAAACTTTTAAAAAATGGGAGATAAATATAACACGAATTAAGAGGTAAAAATGAGTAAAAATGACCCCACGCCTCCAGCTTGCGAACATAAATAAACTTAATGAATAAAATGAGAATGTATCACGTAATTGTAATCATTTCATTTAATAATTATGATAATAAGAACATTAGTGCGACAATGTACTGTAAATCCATAGAAGTTATTATTATATCGTAATTATTATGTAATAAATATTGTTGTTAACATAAAATCGTCGTGTATTATTCCATTAATTATTTCGTTCTCGGGTTTCAGGAAAAATAATTTCGTTGTCGATGAAATAATCGGACTTCATTTCTATTTACCCTTCATGATCAATTACCGGACGTTCGTTAAATTATTACAGTGAAGCGGAAAATTGATATTTTAGAGGGAAAATCCCTGGCATATTTTTCTTGGAAAATTATATTTATCTATTGAAATTTTATGGATTTTGATTTGTTTTTCTTTTGAGCTCAAGTGGTCAGCAAATTTTCAAATAAATGTCAACATTAAATAGAAGAGTATGACTCGATCCTTGAATTTTCAATTATGGGGACTGTCTCGAGAGTCAAAATATTTACAAATCGTATGTTCAATTAGCCTTGAAGACCACTGTAACGCTTCCGAATTAAGTTGTATTCATCGGGATGAGATTCTTTCATGAAATTTGTCAGACGTTTAACAATTGCTGCCACAGCAGGAGAGCAACGGCGGCAATCATTGTTGATGGCCTCTGGTAATATGCCTGAAAATAGATGAGTAGTAGACCATAAAATATATTTCACTTTTTCCAGTTTTTTAACCGATTGTTATAATAAAATCCTCTTCCACATTTCAATCGAATAAATTTCCTCATAAAAATCACCACCTAAACATTGAATAATTAATAATTATTGTTTATAAAATTATAATTTAATTCTATGAACAAATATCTCTTTCATTGGCGAAAAAAATTATAGAATCAATTCATTCCAATTCCAATTCCAATTCGAATTCAAATTTCATAACTCGATTTAATTATCATAAAAAATGGAAAAAAAACATATTTCTGATTTCACTTTATAATAATTTTTTTTTCACTCTGTGTTTGTTAAATTGTTATAGTTGTTTATCTGGTGTTTCAAGTGTAATGTTTCAACAGATTATTCGGCAAAATTATTTTCTCGAAATATACAATCTAGGATGTATAATATATTTATTCATGAATTTTTAATTTAGAAAATATGTAGAATAGAATGTACTCACTTTTAAGTGATGCTCCGATGGCATCGCAGGGTTGTTTCTCCAAAATACAATCAATTCCTCGTTTTACCATTTCTTGATTCTGCAGGAGTGCATCAACATCTTGGGCTTCGATCTTCACAAAAAGGAAGAAAGCACCAGCAAGAAGTAGTACAGCTCTCATTTTTCGATAATTTGTGAAGGACGTACTTGCAATTGTCAGGAATAATCGTCGGTTATTACTTTAATTCACCTGTGATAGGCGGAATCGTCGACTGGTGAAATCGAAGTTTGCACGAGGTGTTTATATATCCCGGACTTACACTATTCTTCTCTTACCTGAGGTAATAGCTCCAATAAATGCTGAGTAAGAGACAATGGGATTGAGAAAAACATCCAGACAATTTCA